TTATCTCATAAAATGGGCAGAGTTATAATGCATTATGTAACCTTTTTTTGGTGCCCTCACCTAATCCTTAAAACAATTTTCTTAGTTAATGTTTTCTTTTCCTTTACTTTTGTTTAATGCATTCGTCGATTCCTATCTTCCATTACTTTGTTTCTTTCTTATTCCTCCTCATGTTTCACTCTTCTGCAGTGTCTGGATAGCTCTGGGTAATGTGACATGCAACTAGTGTGTCTGTATAGACAAAAACCACCACAAAGATTACACATTTTCATCTCTCTTTGCCACTGTGCCTTGAAGAGTCAGACCTGCCCTCTAACCATGATATGTTCCCATGCAAAGATAGCTAAGAAAAGCTTGCCCTGAGACAGAGTGGTGATGCTCAGAGGAGCATCCAGGAAAGCCTGGTGGACAAGAGAAAGGACTCTCAAATGAAGCAGGGAACTACATAGATATCGGCTTATTGGGAGCAGGATGTTCTTGGCCCTACATGCACACTGTGAATGTGATTCCCTAATGTTCAACTGGACCCCATCATCAGCTGGAGCAATATGGAGATAGTGCTTATAACCTAGTTTTTAAAACGAAGGAGCGCTGAGACATCTCAGAATTGGAAAAAGCAATCTCATGTAAGTGAAAGCACTTCAGGGGACTGACTTTGGTTTCCTTGCCAGAAATGAATTTACATAGATGCCAGATTCTAGCCTTTATATGTCAGTCTTATTTCCCGTTTCCCTTCCAATCCAATGAGGTGTTTGTTTGCAAGACTTATTGTCTGCTTTCGTTGAATTTCCAACTGTTTTGTAGCCTCAACTGTGACCTGGTGAGGTTTCAGATACATGTCACTGTCCTCATAAAGATATTCTTCTTTGCATGAAAGCAGTGATTAATTTCCGGGTGTCTTACCCCAGCACTGCCATTTTATGGCCAACCATAAAGCTGTGTTTGTTGACACTGTTTTTCTTTTCACACGTTCTCCAAGCTCTCTCTCTGTTCATTTCTACTCTACACTAACCCACAGACTCTGTTTGAACTCCTGTCACCAGCCCCTATTTATGTAGGGCCTGGGAGCCCCAGGACTAATGCAGGGAAGTCCCTGATCCTGAGGGGTTTATAGTGTGGTTAGGTGTGAGACAAACAAATAAACGAAACAAATTAGTTTGTAGAAGCAATGAAGTGTGATAAGGAGGGAAGGGCAAGACTATGCTGAAGAGGTTGCTGAAGTCCCTTTGTGTAGAGCCAGGGCCAGCTGAATGACCCAGTGATTGTCTGGGCAAGACCATGGTCGATGTAGAGTAGAGCAAAGATGAAGATGGTTGGGGCAGGCACAAACATTGAGGAGGGGGAAAATGGCCTACCTTAACTGAACAGAACTCAGCAGGCTCTGCAAGTACATCTCACTGCACAGTCAGTGGGGCCCAGCCCTGCCTGGAGTCCTTGCTCTCCAGGCCCAGTCAGTGGCTGCTTGCCTGCCCACCCGAGGCAACAAATGGCTTGCTTATCTTCTAGTTTCTGATGTTGGGTACGAACATTTTATCGGTGGCCGAATTTTTCTTTGATTTCTCTTTCTTAGTCCCTCTCTCCCTCCTCACTGAGAAAATATCCTTAAGAAGTTGGGTGGACTCGCATCTTGGTTGAGCCCAGATAGTAGGAAACTCCGACTCAAGGTTTGTAAGAGGCAGCAAGCACACTGTTGCATATGTACACATGCGTACGCCCGAGCACGGCTTCCCCCTCCAGCTGCCCCTCCTATCTGTTGTTTATGATCCCACTTTGTCCTTGTTATACCTGACGTTTGGAGCTGCACCAGAGTTTCCCTTTTTTGTTAGGCCTCCTGTCTGTTCACTCAACAGGTAATGAAACACTTCTTTTATCTCCCCACCCCCAATTCCACTGCCTTCTTTAAGGTCTGGTAAACATTTGTCCTTGCTTCCTGCGTGTCTTCCTTGTCCTGGTCAGTGTTCTACAGAATTTCCTTGTTGAAAGATGAAAAATCCCATTCAGCCAGCCTTTTGCCTTATAGTCTCATAGGACTTTTCTTTTGCATTCCATGGCAACTTCACATGGGGTAGAACGCCTAAATTCTTGCTATCCTTTCCAGGACCCCTTATGCCCTGGCATTGATCCTTCTTGGCTCCAGCCTGCACAGTTGCCACTGCTGTGCTTGGCTATCTCCTCAGTCAGCTTCCAGCTGAGGCTTCCTGCTGCCCCTCACGCGCCCTTCCCCTCCTGGGCCTCTGATTTGTGTTACTTCCTCTGTGTGGTCCCTCATGAGCTACTGAAGGGAGGTTATTTGTACCCCAACACGTGCAGTCAAAACCTTGCTTCATGAGTGATGCGTGTGTCTAGCACTCAGGAAACTGGGGCATGAGGATTAAATATTGGAGGACAGCCTCATTTTCATAGGCCACTGAAGGCCATTCTGGGCCACATAGTAGGACCCTGTCTTAAAACACCACCACCATACTTATTTTTATTGCATTATCATAAGTCGTTTTTTAGGTCTTTAGCTTCATCTTATGCTAGGGTTCATTAAGTGTTTGAAACCATTTTCTAAAGTTTATTTTGAGTGAGATCTAATCTGATCTACTTGCAAATATAACGTCTCACAAACATAGATATTTGATAATTGTAGATAATCTCATGCTTAACTTACCACATATATAAGCTGTTCACAAAGCAATATATATATATATATATATATATATATATATATATGGAATAAATATCTGAAAGAGTAAAAAGGAGAGGGTTTTTTTCATTAACCCTTTGATTTTTATACAGAATACCTACGTAAACAAGAATATTTCACACACAGTTTCAGGAAAAATAAACCAAAATTATTATGGTGAAGTGACCAAGCTGACTGGATTACTTCAGGGAGCATTGAATGATGGGAAGGGAGTTTGCCAAGATAATTTTAGGCACCAAACGTGGAGTTGGGAAATTGATTATTTATTTTAAGAATTTAATCAGTGTTTTTTAGATGCCTCGTTTTGTGTTACAGGGGAATGAAAAAGCCCGAGATTGGCATGGTTTGTACTCAAGGGCTTTAATATAGGGACTATACCAATAATAAAAAAGCACCTTATGAGACAGCATGTAATTAAATCCCACATGATTCAACTGGCTTTGCACAAGGGAGTATTTGTGGGTAGGAGGGATGAGCAATCCTGTATAGAATCTCAAGTCTTGAAAGACAATTTGGAATTAGAGTCTGCTCTTCAGGCATAGTGCTCATGCAATTCTAGAGTGTTCTGATATGGTGACAACTTGGGCTGGGGAACCAGCTCTGTCATAAAGTGTTTGCCATGCAAGCTTGGGGACCTGAATCCAATCCCTGAACCTGTATAAATGGCAGGCATGGCAGTTCGTTCTTATAACCCCAGCACTGGGAGGCAGTGTAGACTATTTGTCAGTCCCAGGTTAGTGAGAGACTGTCTCAGAAAACAAGGTGGATGGCTTCTGAAGAATGACATCTGAAATTGACTTCTGACTTGCAAATGTACAAGAATATTTGTGTACCTACACACACATACACACACACACACACACACACACACACACACACACGTACAAAAGCACACTCGTGCTCTCGAATGTGTATAACGTTGGTAAAGAAGGGAGTAGTACATGTTTTTATTTTAACACATTTTTTTTGTTTTTGTTTTTGTTTTCATTTGTCTTGGGTAGGATTTTGCAGGAACTTTTCTTTTGTGTTACAGAAAAGAAATCAAGGTTATTATTTCTGATGTGTCTGTCATTCAGAGTGATGAGGGTGAAGTAGCAGGAAGATGACATGGTACATTGGATAAGCTGGAATGTGATGGGCAAATGGTTCTTCCTCAGCCTTCTGCCCATATGCAGACCCAAGCCCAGAGCTTCAGGTGTATGGCCTACTCACCTTTAGCATAATAGTTACCATCTCTCATAACTAAATTCATCATACAGTTGAACATTTGTGAGGTGAGATTACCATGGCACTTTAAAATTTCTTGTGTAAATCATTTTCCAATTTTTCTGTACCTTACTCTAGTTTATGAACCTTAATGGTTCTGTTTTCAGGGTTAGGAAATTCCAAGACAAGTATGAGGGATACATTAGCCTCTCTCCTGTAGGGGGCGCTAAGAGAGTAGCGGTTTAGTACTCCTTTGCCACCCAGCCCCTTCTGGCATGACTTGGCACAATTTACTTAAAGATTGTGTGCTCTGGTTTGTGTTGATATTTTACTTTTGAGGGTGTCATGGCTTCAAAACCCACAGTAATTCTTCAGGCTCATAACTATGCATTCTGTCACTTCGGTTCCGTAAATGCTACTACACCTGTGCGATTTTTTGTTTTTAACCTCATATATTTGAGGCATGGTAATTTTAAAGTCCTCATTATGTCTCATTTGCATATGACAGATGTATGCATATAGACACATTAAGCCATTTTCCAAGCGTTTGCAACATTAATGATAGTAGCCTAAACTTGGCCTTTTATGGGACCTCAGATTATTATTTAATGGGGTTGTCACCCAGGACACTGACTGGCCATCTCTAGTGCTTTTAAACAATTAAATTGAGCATGATAAGGTGTATCCCTTGATTAAATGTTTTCCTCTTGTGCAATCACCATTAGCTGTTTGGCTTCCATTCTATAAGCTTTTGAAGCAGCCCTGCATTGCAAATCAATAGCTTTCTGGAGAGATAGTGTGTTGTGAATTGCCTGGACAGCATATGCACGGTTACTTTGGCTGCAATGCTGCTGCAGAGCCCCGTTACTCTGCCTTCCTGGGAACTCCACAGGCAAGTCCATCTTGTTTGGAGGGAAAAAAAATAGATTATTTTAGGGAAAAAAATCGAACTCTTAAAGCTTTTGATAGTGAACATTAGCATGTCTTTTGTGTTCGTCTGAAACCATTTTTGGGTCTTGCTCCACTGAGATCAGCTTCTCTGAGTGATTTCTGGATTTTTTTCCCCCCTGCTTATGCTTCCCCCTTTCTTGGTTGTAGTACGGCCGTACCATTTCAGCCTGCTAGTGCAGAAAGATGTGAATTCAGTTGCTGTGTGAGGCTGGCCTGGTGCAAACACATTGCTAGAGATATGTTAAAGAGTTCCAGGTGAATCCGGCTTGAGAGAGACAACAGCAGAACGGTAAGACAGAGCATGCCTGGAATCATAGCAAGGATTTTCATTTGGAGCATCTCGGCAAGTCGGAATCCTGACTCACTCATTTACAACTTGAAAAGGATTCATTTTATGCATGCCATTTTACTCACTCGCTTCTATTTAACTGCCAAAACCATCAGAGATTGATAAAGGGGTATTTACATTAAGGATCCGATGGGGTTACTCAGGGAGTCTCCGGAGGCTCCCCAGGCTATTGCTGGTAGTTTGTAAACACCAGTAGCAGACATAAGATGAAGAAAATGTTCTGTGACTGCTTCCTTGCCAGAGCCGGGTCTGCTTTCTTTGGAAAGTAGTCTTTATTTTATGGCTTAAAGAGATCTTGCAGATTGTTTTGCTTGGTTATGCTCGGCTGAATGCCCTCTGAGTCAAGCGACTGAAGGACAGGAGACCACTTTTCCTCTGGGTAAACTGATGTCTGAATTTAGCTGGATTGGACCTGAGTGGAATTGATATCTCTACTATATTAGCGATCTGGGGCTGCTTGGCTGCCCGGCTCACCCTCTCCCCTCTTTGAGCCCTGAATGCACCTGGTTTCAGTGTGTGCTGCTGAGTAGAGGTCAGGGTGCTGCCATTTAGATCGCTATATCTATAGTGGCTCTGCTTTTCCGCATAGAAGTGATAATTCTCCATGCACTTCTGCTTGAAGTGCTTGGCTCTACTAGTGGGCTGTTAGCATTGTAGATGCTGATGGAGAACCGCTGCATGCTTGAAAGGCTGTGGTAGTAGACAGACTACTCCAAAATGAGGCTTGCCTGCTCATGAAGGTTGGAATATAAACCTTGGACAGAGGATGGATTTCTATTCGTTTTATTAATTGGGGTATAGTGTTAAGTAGTGAGGGCTCTAAGTTGAAGGATGTATTTCCATATTGTTTACACTGAGACTGATACATTAGATGACCCTGTGCATTTGTCTGGGTCCACGCTTTTGTAGGTGATGAATATTAAGGATGTCAGTGCTTGATATTTTGCTTTAAAATATTTCACTTCGTATGCTTGAACGTAGGAGTTCACTTGAAATGTGAACCTTGTCGTCAGTGAATGTCTGTTGACCAAATCATCAGTAACTTGCGTCTTGGCCAGAAACTAGTTTTATATAATTTTTCGATACAAAGAAAGAATACTTTATCAGCTAAGTGAGAAAAACATCAATGGGATTTAGGATTCACAAAAAGTGATTTACTGGAGGAGGATCCTCTGTACTTACTAAAATTTAAGTGCAAAACTGGACTTTGATTTCTAGGAATGAATATTTGGATTTTGTTCAAAGGAGAGTTTGAATTTTTTTTTTGTGTGTGTTTTGATCACTTACTATTTTCCCCGAAGTAAATGGAAACAGGAACTGTTATTTATTTATTTATTTTATCTAATTCTATAGAGAGGATGTCCTGCTTGCTGTGTCTTTTTCTGAGAGTGATATGTTCTAGCTATTTATATTTCTACCTTCGCTTTGTGTAAGCTGTGAGGTTTAGTTTTTCATCCTGTGCCAGAAGGAATGGAACATCTGCAAAAAGTAATTTTTCAAAAGGAGGCTAATAGAGCAATAATTCAACTTTATTTTACAGTGTTCCACTCCTGTCTTCATCATGCAAACATTTATCATCTATATACCATCTATATGCTCTCTCTACATATTATTTATACACTGTGTATACAACATTGGGAGACAGGCTTGCAGGAAGTGGAAGAAGCTCCAGTGTAGGAACGTTACCATTTTCCCATGCAATCTGCACCATTCTGTTCTCTCTCAGAAAGAAGCTTTGGAACTTTGCAAACAGTGTAACGACTGCTGAGGAGAACCTCTGTCTTGCAAGGCATTTACCTGCAAACATTTGGGCAAAATCTACTCTGTTAAGGTGTGAACGGAACAGGTTGATCTGGTTCCTGTCCTCATAGAACTTGGAATCTTGTTCTGAAAAAGATTTTTTTAAGAGAAATTCTGTGGGAAATTTTTGTTTTCTCACTTTGTAATTGTGAAAGAAGTACGCATGCTTTGATTTTTTTATTATTTAATTTTGTATTTAATTTTTACAAATTATAATTTCACATGTCAATCCCTTCTCCTTCTCTCCCCTCCTCCCCAACCCCCCACCATCCCCTTCCCCCCTCCACTCCCCATAGAGGGTAGCGCCCTCCACGGGGGCTCCCCAAATTCCACAACATCATCCTGGGCCAGGCCTAGGCCCTCCCCCATATGTCCCTGATGAGAGCATCTCTTCACGTGGGATGGGCTCTCAGCTACTTAAAATGCACATTACACAGAACTTGCTAATTTCACCATTTTTAGATTTACAGTACAATGGCATTATTAAGTATATTCCACGTTTTGTAGTAATTACCCCTACTCTCTCCCAGAATGTCCCACAATCCCAAGTGGCTAAATAATAACTTCCATTCTCCCTTCCCCTCACCTTTGATAACCTTGATTCTACTTTTGTGCCTATCTGTTGGCCTCTGCTAGGTGCTGTGTCTCTTGCCAAGGGGAATGACATAGTGTTTGGCTTATTTCACTTAGCATGGTTTCACAGTTCACTGCTGTAGTACCATACATTGAAATTTCGTTCTGTGGAGGGTATGATTTGATTTTAATATGGAAAAGATAGCAGTTTTCCTCCTTAGTATAGGGTGTCACTAAATCAAGTTTCCATATGGACTCTGTAGTAGACAACTTAGAGCTTCTAAAAATAGTAGCCCATGGAGACAGCAAGGAATGAGGACTAGGAATGCAGTCAGAGAACCACCCACTGGTATTTGGGTTATTTACACGCCCTGGTGATTGGACACAGTATTTGGACTGCTAAGATTTTCTTGTCTATTCTTTGCTGATAAGAGAGCAGTGATCAGCTGGAATATTCATTCTGAAGCTTGATTGTGACTTTTGTCATCATTAAGATCTCACCTACTGTGTTTCCAGTGCATCGCTCATTCTGACTCTAAAAACAAAGACTTACCAAAACATCACCTAGGTTTCCTATGCTCTCTGTGGGCTACTTTCTGCCCCCAGTCCTGTTTGTAGTGGACAGTCAACCAGAAACTCCTAGGTAGCCTCTGCATTCATCAGGAAGAATAGACAGTACGTGCTTGATATCACAGTAAACAGTTTTTCATTAGATAGGCAAACTTACCTTTATCAATAAAGTTTTTCTTTCTTGAGTTTCTCTACATACTGATTCCTTTAAATCCAAATTATTTTTCCAGTAGTTGATTCCTTTCTAAAAGGTCTTGTTCTGGCTCCACCCAGAGGCATCTATCTGTTTACCATCCACTGATTTGACAGGTTCTGTACTGGATCCCTGGAAATTTCATGTCTGTTCCTGTAAACTCCCTGTTCAAGGCACCTAAACATACATAGAGGAGCAAGATTCACCACAGCTGCGTTTACTACATGAGTTGTTCCACCTTTTTAAGTAGCTGTAGTCTTCCTCGTTTTGTTTTCTTTGGGATAGGATCTCATGTTGCATGCTGACTTTTTTAATTCAATATATAGCTAAGGCCTTCTGCCTCTGCTCCACAAGTGTTAGGTTCACGGATGCTTGTAACCACACATGGCATCCTGTCCTTAATGATTCCTAATGCTTTATGCTCTTCTGCTTTCTTCTTCTTTTTTTTTTTTTCTGTTATAGCCTGGATTTTTATATGGGGCAGTTTCAGAAGTAGATTAATTAAATGAATGTTTACTTGGGTGGTGAGTTGGAAGAGAGGAAGGAGAGATGGGCCAGAAAACCACATCCTAGTTACTTTGTGCTGCTTTGAATATGCGTTTCCTTTTGTATCAGGAGAGATGAGGAAAAAGGGATGGGCAATGTTGCAGGTGAGGCCTGTCTTTTGTTGATTCCATCTAGGATGTAGGTCTCCGGGGACACGTGCACAGTGGTCAAGAGCTTCTGCTCTGTAGTCTGGTCCTACAATAAACCTCCAATCCCCTGTTTACTCACTGCATGGCCTTGGACGAGTTGCTTAGTTCATGTGTATGTCAGTTTAATTACCTCTGAAACTTGGATAACGCTGTCCCCACCTAGGGCTCTTGTAGATACTGAGAAATCATGTTAAAGGCAGTTTTCATAGTAACTGTTACAGAAGCGTTCCGTAATATCTGGCCGTCATTATTACCATTGTTACTTCATCTAGAAACCCTCAGTTTCCATCTCTGTTTTCTAACAACTACGTTTTTACCATGTCTCAGATCCTTCTCCAGTTGGCTTCATTAGAGGGTATATATGAACATTTCTTAATTTTACAGGGGTGAAGAGGATAAAAGGAGGTTGTAAGAAGATGCTCCATTTCTCTGCTTATCATCTGCCAAGCTTTGGGAGGGTGTGTGTTCCAAAGACATTATCTTCTGTCCAATTGAAAACCCATTTCAACCAGCAGCCAGTTCCTCAACTAAATGAGATCCTGATAAAAACATTGGCAGGGGAAAGCTTTTGGAAGTACTGGGTTTGTTTCAGGTGGCAGACAAGCAGCAGGGTATTTACACCCCGCTGCTCTGCTCTGTTCACCTTGGCCAACTGAGTGCCCAGTCACTATTGACTCTTCTCTGTTGTGGGAAAGGTGTACAGAGCAGGTCTTCATGAAATCAGGGGATTTTATTATTAAAGGATCACTATCAGGTTTATTATTGCCGAAGTTTTAGCTCTTCTCAGTGGATGGACCAATTGTGAGGGCTGCATTGAAAGACACTTCTATTTTTTCAAAGGCCCATTGTTCCCTGTGTTTCTTTTCAGGAGCTCTGTGTGGTTAGTGACCCACATAGGATTCTGTGAAAATGGTGAGAGCTTCAGAAGTCGATCTCATAGTCAGTGATGTCCTATAGTTTTTAGAATTCTTTGGTCCGATTTGGATTCAAATGGATTTTATTAAAAGATAAACATCACATTTGAAACATGGTAACATCACTCTTGACCTTAATTTTGAAGTTGTTATCCTAGCATTAATAATGCATCACATTTTTTTATTAGAAAAGAT